TGCAGTGATTTTGGAACTTTTCTTAGGAAATATGGAAGGAAAACCAGCCCTTTAGAAGAGATGGGGCAAGTAAATGGTCTTCATCTTTTGGGCAGAAAAAGGGGTTTGTGGTTTGTGTTTGGTTTGTTTGTTTATTTGTTTTTTGCCCCTCCTCTCTCTGTTTTTTTCTCTCCCTTTTCTTTTTAAAGGAAGAAAAAAGCGAAGAATGGAATAAAGAGATGAATGGTAACATGGCAGCCAGACCAGAAAACTATGTAAATATTTTTTAAATGTATCCTTAGCTTTATCTTAGAAATAGTGTTATATATATATTTAAAGGTGCTTTCTTAAATAGATATGACGTGACCTAGATTTTTTAGTAACTTAATGTAATGTGGGAAGTGCAGTAGACCCCTTAATCCCTTCCATAATAAGTGAGAAGAAATGGTTGTAATAGTTGTGGGATATGGCAAGAATTACAAACTGAGTGTACTAAAGAAGTTGCTTATTTCCTTATTCAGTATCTTTTAAGATTACTCAGTTCCAAAAGTCCTGTCTTTTTTGGTGATTAACACTGATGTTTCACCTTCAGATGTAACAGTAAAATGAAAGTAGAGAAACAAGTCAAGTAAAAACAAATAAACAAAAAGCCCACAACTTTTAAAATAGTATTGCAAGAATTTTCTCGTAAGTGCTGCGCTAATTCAAATGCCTGCTTATTTTGCTTGCTAGTTGTTTGCTGCTTCTCCCTCTGCAGCTTGAATTGCTTCTCATTGATGCTTTTAAGGGGAAGGGATTTCAGAAAATAAGTGAACTGCTTCAAGAGAGAGAAATAGAACCTCCCCAGAAATACAGCGAATCTCTCTTCAACCAGCTAGACAAAGCACTGAGAAAGGCGAGTACCATAAATAATCTTAACTATTCTAATGTTCCACTCTATGGGTGTCAGACTAATGAAGCACAGTGCTCTGTGTTTTTGTAGGAGCTGGACAAGAATGAATTCCAGAATGTTTCGCTGCTGCTGAAATGTATTCAGCTCTACTTCAAAAGTGATCTTCAAGAAGGGACGAGTTTGTTTATTGAGCAAGGACTGGTAGAAAAGATGAGTATAATACTGCGTACAAGTTACTAATGTGATTTAAGGTTGCTTGCATCAGGAAAAGAATTCCAAAGAAATGAGAATCAGAGTATGGCTTGTTGGCCATGCAGAAATGAAATAATTTTTTAATATATTGCATGAGCTGAGCAGGGAAAAAAATGCTTACATTCATTGCATTACTTTCAGTACAGCAGCTAACATCATGGCTCCACTTATTACCTGACTTAATGGGTTTGCGTGGTTTTTTTTTTTAAGCTGAAAATGGAAGGACAGGAGGAGTTTTGATGAGTCCCATTTGTGAAATGATACAGAATTTCTAAATGCACTTTAAGTGCTCCAGCAAAATACAATTTTAGTAATAGAATTGGTGACCAGCTTGTGCTTTTATAATTTTAAAAATTGACATATCTGTTATGAAGATCTCTTTTTTGATACATAGTAAACCAGGTGCATTTAATCTGTAATTGTGTTTTATCTCCTGGCACAATACTGATTTCAGCTGGTAATACTTGTAGTAGCAGAAATGCACTTGTGCTGAAGATGAGTAATACCTGGATCTAGTGTGGCTAGGAGGCAACACTTAATACTGGCTTTCTGTTAGCAGAGTTACACCAAAGAGTCCCTAGTCCAAAATGTTGTAATCCTGCCTTGTATTTATGCATTTCAGGGATACAGTTGCTCAAAATTCCCATATGGAGAGATTATTAATATAAAGCTTCACCAATCGGAGCTCTATGCCTCCAGTGAAGCATAGATTTCTAGTTAGCCGTAGGTGTGTGGTGCTATGCAATATGTTTAAAAGTGTGAAGTATGAAAATAATTACTTTAAAAAAGCTTGATGAATTTTTAAAACACTAATCCACTGTAAATTGATGTCCTCTGGAAATTTCCGTAGGAGTTACAATGCCACTTGCAGCGTGCATTGCGTCAAGGAGGTCCCAAGCACCATGCTGGGTGCCTCCAGACAAGAAAGGAGGATGAAAGTGTGTGGAAGATAAGTCCTGCTGAGTTGGGTGTGAGGGTGGCACTTTTCATGTCCTCCTAGCAAAATTTGAGCTCTTTAATGCCGTGTAGCTTTTGACACAGTACATGACTCTGAAATTCAAGGACTAAAAAAACCTACATGCATAAGTTTCCTGCAGATATATCAAGTTTAAGGATTATTAACTTTTTCCCAGGTTTTAACTGATTCTTTTAACTTTTACCTGGTATCTTGGTTTGAAAGAGCAAGAACGTTTGTGATCCTCATCGACGCAAATGACAACAAATTTTTGATGTTACTTCTCGAAGACTTCTTTGATTCTGCGTTGGTATGTACGTGCATTGAGGGGACAGAAGGGTTGCCTTTACTCGATAAGAAAGCCATTGTTCACAAACAGCTTTCTAGTAAAAAATAAATAGTTAAGCAGATCTTGTGCTTTAGGACTGAGCCTGGGATGTGGCTCAAGTTGTGGGGACGGGCAGTGCCCAGCAGCTTCCTCTGGGCTGGCATTAGGCTGAGGTTTGCACCTGGGAGAAGCTGCTGTGGGGCTGCACAGGGAGGGCTGCAGTGTTTTCTCATTTTCTGACATGAAACCAAGTGTTTGGTTTTGCAGGAAAAAGCGCAAAAAGTTCTGATGCATTTTCTAAACAAAAGCTTTTCTGCTGAAGCTCTTGTTGAAAACCAGAAGTTACTGCCACCCCTGAGCTGTGCCTTATGTGCAAATGTTTTTGCTAAGGTGGTCCTGGTGATTCGTTCCTACTGTGTTTGAAACAGCTGGTTTACTTTTAAAGAACAATCTGAGCTGCTTACAATCCTCATTTAGGTTTCTATTTTAAATATTCAGAACTTTAAAGGTATTGGAGGCCTAGTGATGTAAATTTTCAGTAGGAAGAATGCTTTTAGCTTCTTTCCCCAGGCTGTTCCCTCAGTCTTGTCTGTAGCTTACTGGAACTATGTCACTTTGTGTGTCAGAATTTATTTGAATACTCTTTTTAGGAGACTTGATAAAAGACATTTGAGCAAAATAAAATTTTATTCTTTCTCTACTAACTATGTTGAGATTATATGAAATACTCTATCAGTTATTTATTTGTAAAAATTTTGATTTCTTTGTTTTCCTGGTCCATTTCTTCCATATGATTTCACTGTGGAGGATGAAATGTTATTTGTCTTGTGGGTTTTTTAAATTTTTAATTTTCATCAAGGGTCTTTAAAACTCTTCAGGTATAATATGATATTTAGTACTGTTATGTGTAAACATGTTTTTATGAGGGCCCATATGTGTAATAAAAGCAACGAAGCGATGCCATGATGTGGGTTTTCCAGGGAACCTGAGGGCACTGCACTCTTGGGTGCTGCTGAAACTCCCAGGGAAGTGGGTGCTTTGCTCCCTTTACCTTCCCTGCATAATGCCCACCTGTATGATCGGGGTGACCATATGTGACATACCGGTATCAGGTGGCACTGCTGTTCCTGGTGTGGGTACGGTAAAGTTTTATGTTGTTTTAGCCCCTGAGAGGTGTGACAGTGGGGGCATAAACACCTCAGCACTTGGAGTACTGCTATTCTTGGGTTGTGGTGTGTTAATGGAGGCTTCCTTTGCTTTTTCCATCAGGTGATTTGCAGGTGTAGTAATGAAGGTCAGTATTGTTTTTCCTTCTATTCTTTGATATCCTGAATCTTAGTCTTGGGAGCACATTTCTCAATTCTGCTTGAACTCTGTCCTTTTTTAATTCTTCTCTCCACTCCCTCCCTCTCCCTCTCTGCAATGTTTTCTTTAAATTCTCCTTTTAATTAAAAAATTATTTTTCTTTAAATTTCCCTTCAGTTAATGTTCATTAATGCTTTAATTAGAGCACAAAACCTTTTACTGTTTCTCTTTGTTTACTTGTTTTGAATATGCTGGGGGGGGGGAAGTCTCGCTGTGGTACCTTGTTTAAATGGTTGGCACCAAGTATTTCACTTGGTCAGAGTAGGTGGTGCTTCTGGAAGGACTTGAGGCTCTACAGTCTGCTCTTGCACTTCTATTCGTAGTGGCTTCAGATTATTCCCCTGCTGAAGGCAACCACCTCTGCAGAATAACATGGTAATTCCTTCAGCCATCCTAAGTAGGCAGAGGGATGTCTGTCCGTCTGTCTCACTCCTTTCAGCATCAGGATTTTGTCTGTGGCCGCAGCTGGCTTTCCATTAGGGTAGGGGAGCAGGTGCTTCTCTGAAAGAGCAAGTATCCGTGCGCCCAGACATCCAGGCTCACAAGTCATGTAAAAACGAAGCATTAAATTGTGGACTGGGTAAATTGAGCTTATTTGTCCTTGTAACTTGTTCTAGTGGGAGCAGAGTGGGTATGAGTGTGTTCTGGTTAATACTCTAGTGGTTTGCTGAATTGACTTTGTCAAAACCTGTATATTATGGATTTATTTGTTGTGGTTAGTAAGTAGCTGCTTCTTTCTGTACATATTTAAGTGTCACTTTAACTGCTGGCCTAGGTATCCATAGTTTTCTTTTTACAGAGAAGTTACCAGTTCCCCTTTCTGTCTAGGATTAGATAGTTGTAAGCTTTGTTTAAAACTGAATCCCCAGCTGGGATATTTTTACTCATTCAACACCACAAACTGTAGCTGCTTCAACTGTCTCTTATACAGACACCAGCTCATTGCTAGCTGTAACCTCTCAAATTATTTTTCTAGGGAAGAAGGAGCTGGTGAATTTATTTTTACCTGAACTAGGGCATCTGGTGACAGAAACAAATATTTGCTGTGCTCTGCGGCAGGAGGTAAGACTCCTACTAGGAAAATAAGAGATGTGTGCACACAAAATTGTGTGTAATTAGATTAAAACTGTGAAAAATATGTTACTAAATTCTTCCTCCTCTTGTTCTGCTCCTTCTGTGGGGGGAAAGGCTTTGAGGACTCTCAACTCTATACTCGACAGTGTCCCGCGGGAGGAGAGAAAGAAATTCCCTCTGTCTGAAGAGATGTGCTCACTCACGTAAGCAGTTTTCCCTCCAACTCCAGTAGCTAAATGCTGTCTTCCCTGCAATTAAAGTTATTTCCACTTTAACTCATTGCATTATGTTGTTTCAGGAAAGACCTTGCAAAAACTATACTGGAGGTTGGTGGTAAGAAGTACTTAGTGGTTATTCTTACGAAGCTGGGGCTCTCTGGCTTTACTTCATCTGCTTATTTATTATAGACAAATTATAGTTTTGATTTATTTCCTTGTAGATATCTGATTTTGGGGGAGGAAAATCAGGTGGTACTCTAAGAAAATATTAATCCAAGTTTTAGATGCAACAATGCATTAGTTCTTTCTGGTTAGTACTAGTACTTCATATTAACTGAGACGAAAAGCTAAACTAATGTGTAGAAAGGTAATTAGATAGCTCTGTGTACGTGTTTACAAAGTATGCTTCCTGTTAGTCTTTAAAAAATAAATTTTAACTACTTTGCCATGATGTGGACAAATTTCAGTTAATAAGGTTTATAGCCTCTTGAGTGAAATCTTTTTTGTTTTCTCCTAGCAATAACACTTTCTAAGGCATTACCCTGATATGTGAAACGTAATTTAATTGTAGTGAGTTTAGTGATGAGGCTCTGCTCTCACCCTTTCCCTGATCCCCAAGAACATTTCCCGACGCACGCGCGTGTGTCGTGGTTAGCCGTGCTCGGCACCTCACGGAGCCGGGGGGGGGCTGAGGATGCCTGGAGCTGACGCTGGGCTGTTACCCTCCCCTGTTCTCCTGGGTGGAGCTGAAGCTGATGAATACGACCGTGTAGTGTATTAGTGTAAGAGTAGCAATGCTATAAACCTCTGTTATGCTGTGGGGGGTGGATATTTATCATGTGCTTATGTTTACCATGTAGATTATGACCTTCAGGTTGCCCTTTCAGAAGCACTTTGTAGGTTAATGACAAAAAAATGGAGGGATGACCTTGTTCACCACTGGTTTGAAGATAACTATCTTGCTGAAGCTTTCAAAGAGATCAAGGATAGAGAATTTGAGACGGTGAGGGTCCTTATTTTGAAAACATACTTGTCTATTCTGTATAGGGGCTAGTTTTGTTTGAGTTCAGTCAGGATGTCCTTGTAAGAAGTTCCTACAAAATTCATTTTATAAATACACAAAGTTATTTAATTATTTGTGGATGGTGTCTTTTCTAATCTGGCAAATATAAAATGGCAGGTTGTTAAAATAGCTCTTATTGCTAAGGTATTTTATTGCTAAAGTGTAAGTTAATTTTTGTGGGTTTTATGTTAGGAGGCTCACTGGTCATAAGTTGGATCAAACCATTTGTAGCAACTTGAGTGTTTCTTCCTCAGTGGCCTTTGGCATCACACTGACTAACTAAAAGCTTATAGCTGGAGTAGAGGTTACAGAGCCCAAGAGAATAACTCTTTGCAAAGGAAATGTAGCCTGATTTTTATAATAAAATGTCATTTGTCTTGAAGGACTGCAGAAAATTTCTTAACCAGCTCAATGAAAGGCTTGGGGATGAAAGAAGGTAAGCTGTGAACCAACAAATTAAACTGGTGCTGTTATTACTGCAAAGGGGAAAAACTAGGATTGTAAACTGACTTGGGTTATATTAAAAAAAAAAATATTTACATCACATGTGAATAATTAAGTTCTTAAAGAGATTTTGTTCATTTTCATGGACGCTCTTTTAAAATTAAGATCAATGAAGACGATGCATCACTACTAAAATACTATATTCTCTAAGCGTCTCCAAGCTTAATTTAAGTCTAGGAATTTATTATTTTTTTGAACGATAAGATTAGTAACCAATCTTAATGATTTTATCTTTCATAAAGTTGGACTGTGGTGTTGAATATATCATGCGAAGTCTGCTTTTCTTCTAGAGTCTATTCATTTCCTTGCATATCTGCTTTTGCTGACATGAACGAGGTAATGGTCCTTAACGCTGTGACACACCTTCCCTACAATGTTACTGCTGTTAAAATATTATTTTCTGTGGTATATGAGGTTTTTTTCTTCCTGTTTTTCATTGAAGAGCTTAATTTTCTGCAGTGCAGAGTGTAACCTTTGAGTCTAGCTGGAAAGTTTGCTTGTTTGTCACTTGGCTCCCAACTTACTGCTGCTGACTTAGCTTTTGTACCTGACAAATGATAGAGGCAGCACTTCTCTTCATGGTGATGACAGAAGAGAGATGTCTAAAAAGTAAGAGGACAGGCCAACTCTGATTCCTCAGGCAGAGCTGCTCCCAAACTGCTAAAACCCAAGATTAGCCTCATGCCTGTGTAGGAGAGGTCATAGTCACAGTTACAGATCCTGCAGATTGTTCTACTGGTCTTTAAGTAAACATATGCGTGGCACTGTTCCTGACAGTTGTATTGTATCAAAACCAAGTTGATGGAAGCTGGTTTTGCTGCTTCTGCTTATTTCAAGTGCTCAGAAACAGAGAAAACTTTCCCAGACTCTTTCCTGCCACAAACATGCAAGCATTTCATATCGCCTTTCCCTTGGCTGGTGTAGAGGGATGTCTGACTTGGAGTATGGTTGGCTGAGCGGTAGGCTGACAACTCACAGGTTGATACCCACCCTTATTAATGTAAGGTATGCATATGCGTACGTGCGTATGTGGGGAGACTTTTTCCAATGCTGTCTTGTTAAAGAAAACTCAGAATGATACAGCAGTTGTGGGGCTTTTCTGGGAATGGCAGTGCCACTGTTGTGCTTCCCCAGGTGAAGAAGCCATCGGACGAGAAGCTGGAGGAGTTCTGGATCGACTTCAACACCGGCAGCCAGAGTGTGACTTTCTACGTGGACAGTAACGAGGTAATAGCAAAGCCCAGGTAGCCCTGGGTTAGCTGTCTAATGTAGTGGGTGCTCGCTCAGCCCTTCTGATGTGGTGGCTTTGGTTTTCAAAGGGTGCTCTTTGGGACTCTGTGAGGTTGTCGAAAGAAGCGGTCAGCAGTTACAGCCTGAAGGGTAAGGTTTCCCAACTAGCGGTATGTTCCGTTTGGCTATGGGTTCACAAGACACATGGAGCCAACCTAAAATCTCACCATTACCGTATCTTCTCCCTCTCCCCATTGTGACCACTTCAGTGGTCACCTCACACCAGCTCTGCCTGTTGGACTGTCTTTGGGCCCATTTAGCATAATAACCTACCCTCCCTACCCAAGCAGGGCATGTTGAGGGGTCAGTTTATAGATGTGCTAAGGAATACCATAATCATCTAGATCCAAGGAGTAAGAAATGAGTGAACAGAGTAATTGGAAATGCGTGGGCAAGATGTAAAAGACTGTTTTAAACCCACTTATTTAAATGTTTCTGGAGTGATAGACTGAATATCTTGCTCTAAACCAGACTGTGGGGTTTTTTTTCCACGCAGAGCATGATGGAGAAAAGATTGTTAAAATTTATATGAAGATTCCTGCTATTCTTAACAAAACAGAAGCAACAAAAATCAAAATCTCTTTCAGTGCTGAGTTTGAAATCTCAGGTATACTTAGAAAAGTCCTAGGAGATGAAAAAATGATGGTAAGCTCTTAGTACAGTTTTTTTCTAAACTATATTTTACTCTATATACACTGGGGAAAAACATTAAGTGGTTTTTTTGTGTGTTTTTATGTTTGTTTATTATATATCTGTCTTCCCGTTGAGGATTTGTGACTCTCCATATGGAAGTCTTTGCTTTGGCCTGAAATGGAGATTACAGACTTTAGGAAAGAAGTTTCAAGGGACTCAATTTGATGGTTTAGAAGCTGGAAGGTTAAATGGGTTTGTTAATCAATTCAGTCAGTGTGCTATGATTACTTTTGCTGAGTTTTTGAAGTAGGAAATAAAGGCTATGGCATTTAATCGCATAACCTGAAGTATAAATCTGTTCTTAACATTAGCTCAAAGTGTTACGTTGCACGTGATCAGCAAATTTTGACACAAGAACCTGGAGGAGTGCTGCAAGACACAAATCTTAGATTGACTTTGTAGATAGTACTTCTAGATTAAAAGTAGAGTACTTCTAAAACCTCAAGTTTTTTTATAAGCTAATGTAAAAACACGGAGGATGTGTGTGGGTTTTTTTAAATATTAACATGTTAATTTTTTGTAGTTGTGATTCATCAGCAGACCATGGGATTCGCAGATAACCTTACATGACAGTCAATAGTCATGGTATAGTGGCTGTCACTTATCCTTGTAGGAACCAAGTGGTCAATTCAGTTAGCATCCCATGATTTACCAATTATTTGTTGTTGGTGATTAACAACTGTTAGTTTTGTTATTAAGTAACTGACTTTACTAGATAAAGATTCTACTTTTTTTAAGGTCATTTTCACATGAGATTCTTTCACACCAACAGATAAACGTGGCTGAAGAGGAGTTTGTCCATGCTGGGAAGCAAGCCAGGCAGAATGAAGCAGGTGTTTTTTAAATTATGATTTTATTTTAGGAAATTTAAATTGTTTTAAAACTATTATATTTGCTTGCAGCTTAAAATCTTGCATTTAAAAAACAAACAAAAAAACCCCAAAACCCCACAACAAACCAATCCCCAAGCTCAATCTTCTACTGTTTGTATCTCGTAAGCTTGGTAACTGATGTTTGTGGCAGGTGCTGAGTCCGTCTAGCTCAGGGAGCGAGGATGAGGCACCATGGCCATGTGCTGCTGGGATTGCATGGGCAGGGGAACAGCTGGCGGAGGCTGGGTCAGTATGCTGGCAGGTAGCCTAGCAAGGTACATCTCGGCTGCTGGCAGGCCTCCGACGTGCAAAGAGTGCGTGGTAGTGTTTCTCCACCTGCCGCTGCATTGCAGTGGGATGCACGCGTCTATCCTACTTCGCTTCCCCCACATGTGGTTCCTGGCTCGGCTGTGCTGTGCGGGTGCCTGTAGGAGATCCCCTGCAGGAGGGGACAGTGGCATCTGTGTGCCCATGGAAGCACAGGTCCTCTGATGAATCCGTGCTTGCAGCTTGGCACTTAATGCGCTCTTCTCTGCGCAGTGACCGTGTGTGTGGTGGTGCAGCCTTTACCAAGGCTTTCTGCAGGGATGTGACTTCTGTTTCTTTCTGACAACATGATGTGATAGAATGGTGTGCTCTGGACCCATTACCCCACACAGAGCAGATGATGCCCTGGAGATGCCAGGGGCTGTTGTGGAAGTGCAGCTGGGAGAGCAGAAACGCTCACCTGCAGTCCCTGTTTGCAGAGAGATGAGCAGCAGCACTGCTCCTCTCTGCAGGAGGTGACCTGCTGCCATATGTAGGGCATCGTGGGCGCTGCCATAAATACCTCGTGCCACAGGGCTGTCTCTGTGTGCATCCCAACTACAAACATAGCTGTGTGCCTTATGGTAGGAAAGGCTCTTAGCTGGACCTGGAATAGCCATTATTTCCTTCTTCTCGCCAGCCTATAGCTAATGCTTTGTATGTCTTTGAGTTGGGCACGTTGAATTTTCTGTGATCAAACAGTGTCGCTTCCCGTGCTGCCAGTGAACATCTCCTGCAAGATGTTTCCTTCCAGGATCATTGGGCTGAGTTTAATTTTGTTCCAAATATGATAGATGTCGAGGGAACACAGAGCCCAAAGTACAGGTGTGACGCTTGAGCGCCTGACCCAAAGGAAGGTCCAAGGCCAGCACTTGTCCAAGGGGAAGAGCAAGTAGCTACTTTCTTTCCCTCTATTCTGAAGTTCTTCTGTAAATCCCCACCAAGACTGTGATCCATAGTTCGGGGAAAAGCTGCTTTTGGCACAAAAGCAAGACATGCATGATAAAAATTGGTCTTAAACAGGAAATGTTTCCTCAGCTCAATTTCAGTATCAAATTATTTGGGAGGTGGCTTTTTTGTATAGTGATCTTTTTCTCTTTGAAAGCTGGAATATGTCCTTGCTGCAAAATTGGCTGTACTTCAGTCTTTAAAGTGATTATTTTTTGTGTGTATTATTCCTTGGTACAACTTGCTTAACAGATCTTCCAGGTCTTCTAAGACAATGAACTCGTATTCCTGTTTCTACTGCTACCACCCACCATCTCAGAAAATGAATCATAAGTTTGAAGAGCCCTTAGGTTAGGTAGCATTCTTTCTGTGCCTACGTTAAAAGCAAATTTTTACTTTCCTCTTAGTTACTGTGCATTTCAGATTCCTCCAGGTGAATACCAGAAAGAGCTACTTCCAGCCCTAGATGTCTGAGATAGTAACGTCTTCAGCAGTCCTTCCCATTTTCCTCCAGTTACAACCCAAAATGAGTTAGAATGGAAGTCCTCCAGATTCTGGAGGTGCAGGTGAGGGAGAAGCTCCTTCGTCAGTGTCCACCATGAAGCACACACAGAGGCAGAAAGCAGATGCTACTTGAAGCAATTGAGGAGTATAAAGGGCAGAAGGTAGTTCATCTGTAGAGAAAGAGCTTTTGCAATGCCTGGTGGAGATTCGATGGAGGGAAACAGATGATGGAAGATCCTGCTGATGTGTTGCTTTAGCCAGACACAAAAGGTTGTTCCATGTCTTCCAGAGCTAAAAGCTGAGGTAGCAATAAAATGATAAACTTATACATATTCATATAGCGCAAGAGGCTTAGAAGGGGTAAGCTCAAGATACTGCTTATTTAGTACTGCAATTCTTCACTAGGTAATTTGGCAATGTTTGGTTTTGTTTTATTAAACAAGATCTTAAGATGTTTGTGCCTAATAAGTTGTACTGTTATGCTTTTTTGCACATGTGTAAGAATGGAAAGGAAATGCACGTGTGTGTGCTGTTACTGCAACAACACTTTCACCCTGTTGCTCTTCTGCAGTGATACCCGAGTCCACTAATTCACAGGGCAGGAAGGATCCTTCAAACTCTGAAAACATGGACCCTCTACCAGACAATTTAAGCTCTCAGCACAGCCAACAGTTAACAGGCACTGTAGCAGTAAGTGTTTGGTGTATGGTGAAACAGTCTTTGTGCCCCTTTTCCCCCCTCCTCCAGTCTACGTTTTTATAGATGTGGTTAAAAGCTTCTTTCAAAGAAAAGTAGCTTTGTACCCAGATCTGACAATATTTTCAAATGCCACCTTGTATTGGTGAGAAGTCAGCCTAAACACTTGCCTTCAGACTGCAATTTTGGCAAAACTGCTTTAAAAAGAAAGAAGAAATTTTACTCCCCCTTATAAGGAGATGGTGGGATGCTCTTAGTGAGAATCTCATAGTACCAGTGCAACCTTAAATGCTTTTGTGTGGCTAATGATGAACCATATCCAGCTGTTGCCACAGGCTAGCACTGAAAATCTCTGTTCCTAAAAAAAAAAACCAAAACCAAACCCAAACCAAAAACCAAACCCCGCTACTTTATTGGTCATATGCATGCTCCGTTCATGGTTTCATGTCTCCGAGCAGAAAATGGTTAACTCTGGTGTCACCATGATTACAGTGAGCCAGCAGACTGATGCGGAAGGTGCTAACCAAGGCTCAGGTCAGGCATGGCTCCCTTCAGTTCCTTAAGTGTGACCCAGCTAAGTGTCACTCAGGTGACATGGTGAAGGCTCTGCTTTTGTGGGCCTTACAGCAAGAGCAGAAAAAGCATTTAATAGTAGCTCCAGAGGGTGAAGCTGTAGTTTCCTTGCCTCCTTCAGCAAAAAACTCCAAAACTCCATCTCCAAGGATGAAAACTAAGCCTAGGTAAGTGTCTTGCAGCCAAAAAGTTGCAAGGTGCCTTTTTTTAAAATTCTGGTTTTGTTTTCCCTCCCCTGGGGTTTTAATGCATGTAATCTTGAAGTTCATTCCATCAATTATTAAACAGAAAAAGATTTTGGTTTTGGCACCCTGGCTAGCAAGGTTAGTTGCCCAGAGTTACGGCACTTTAGAGTTGTAGAACAGTGATGTTTGGTTACTGGCTTGGCTGCTGCTTTGGTGTGACTTTTCTCTCTCATTGTTGATTTAATCCAAATACAAGATGAGCATACAGCTGTATTTACAGAGAGTTTAACTTCAGCTATGTCACTGGAGCTCACCAGATATGTAGCTATTCATAATGAGGAACATGACTTTTGTGAAAGATCATGTGAATTTGAGTTCACCTTGGCATTAGTAATACCTTTCTTCAGAGATTTACAGGACAGCATTTCTTATAGTTAACAAGTTCAACTTCTGTAGAGCTACTGATTAGCTTTCTTCTCTACACACCTTTTAAACCATTATTTTGATGGTAATTGGTGCAAGTTTGGTGGTTTTTTTTTCCTCTTAGAACTTCACAAAGTCACTCTTTGGGCTTTCAATGAACAGCCCCTTAGCACTGCTTTGGTCTCATGTGTTCTCTTGTCCTCAGTGAGAAGCCTATAGAAGAAGCACCTATGGAGGAGTCAACATCGAAGGTATATTTACCTCGAGGCCCACCTGAGTGGAGAGACATGGAGCAGGGAAGAGATGCTCTGGTGGAGTTGCAGAAGAAATCTAGGATGGGTTGACCCACTCCTGCCCTTGAATAATGTCCTGAGCCCATGTAGTGTCATATCTGATGTAATGTGCCATTTAGCACCAGGAGTGAGCTGCAGAAGTAACAGCTGCCAACCTCATTCTAGTGTGTCCCAACCAAGTAAATCAAGCTAAACTGAGTTTACTCAATGTACATAGCCCCTAGGCAGCGGTGTGCTGTGCTTGTGTCCAGGAGCATGACATGGGGGCAACCAGCCCAATCCTGTGTGGGACAAACTTGTATGTCACAAGACTTATGAGTGGTCTGCAAGAGCAAAGGTTTGCTTCCTAAAGGGAAGTGAGTCTTGGAAGTCTACAGACATATTTATTCAGTTTTGTATCTGAGCTCTAATGATCCTCCCACAATAAACTTCTCTGGCATAGGAGATTGCAACCTGGGTAAATTAACAAGTAACTGGGACCATCTATAGTTGTGTTTCTTTGGACAACTTGAGCATTTGGAAATTTCTATTGATGTGTCCAGGAAAAAAAAAAAATGCACTACACCAGAAAAATTAAATTCCCAAAGCAACATTTTTAATTTGGAGTAGGTACTTTGCTTATATAAGAAACCATATTTTAGGCTTGTTCTTGGGTTTACATTTCCAGGTTCTAGTTTTAGATTTTTTAAAATGATTTTTTAACTGACAGGTCAAACTGTACAATGAATTCAAAGCTTTTGAACTACTTCTTTCTGTATCCTCACTTCCTAAGCCCTCCAGTTTCCACTCTGGGAAGTTTCCTACTTCCTGGTAGGAAAGAACTGCAGGAAACAGTTGCACCTGAACAGTTGTTGTAATGGGAGGAACGAAACTTCCTGGCACGCCTTAGGTCTGCTTTTAGCAGGCTCTAGGATAAGAATGTGACTCTTGTGTATTGTGGGTTTAGATCTTGCAACTCTTTTCTTTTCAGAAGGATGTTGCCTGGGAAAAGAGAAACAGAAGAACAAGTTTGGCCAAGCAGAGGACTGAAGGCAGGTATGACACACAAGCCCTGTGCCCATGCAGGTCTGGTGTGCCAGGTCATTTTAGACCGTTTCTAGCACTGGGAGTGTGTGTGTGTGCGCACCCACGGGGTGGGCTGTCTGAACAGAATAGGCAGCAAAACAAGTAGGAGGTTGTGAAGGATCATAACTTGTCTCAGTGGGAACCTTTGGGTCCCCAAAGCGACAAAGACTTCAGAAGCTAACTCTAGTCTGCTGAAAATGCCCTCGCCTCTGTGATACTACGCCATGTTGGCTTTTCCATTTTTTCCTCACCCAACCATAATCCTTCCATCCTCCAGTCAGCTGAGTTATGAGTGGCAGCTTCTTTCATAAATACCTAAGCTTTTTTTCAGGTATTGTCCCAGTTCTTTGGCATTGTGTGTCCTAGAGTTTCAGGATGGTCGTCTCCTCAGTCTGTCCCCTTCCCTCACACCCGTACGTTGGTCTGCTCACGTTCAAAGCCAGTGGCACCGCGGGCAGAAGGACTTGAGGGTTTGAGGGACGTACGCAGTCTGTGGCGCTGGAAGTCTGTCTTGTTGCACCCTCCTCCTGCGTGTTCTGCCAAGTGTTTGTGCGCAAACTAATATCTGGGCAGGAGAGCAAACAAACTGTGCAAGAGGATCTCTGCTGCAGTTCTGGCTGTTCCAGGGCTCCCTTGGGTGTCCTGCTTTAGTCTACTGGCTCTTAGTTTTTTAAAAAAAAAACCAAATATTTAGATGGGGGTGTCTTTTTTGATATCTTGTAGATAAGAACAGGAAAAAATGATGCGGAATTTTATGGTTACTACAGGTTCTGGGGTTTAAGATCAAATAACTGGATGCAGCAAATACTGTCTGTGAAACGAGTAGCGGTGTAGAAGTTGGAGATGGAGAAGGTCCTAGTTCGGTCACTCTGCTCCCTCTAGCGTTTCATCTGAAAATGAGCGATTCTTTCCTGAAAGAAACTAAAGAGAAGAGCTCAGTTCTTTAGTCTTCCTATTTCACTAGTAAGCAGGGGAGAGTGTACTGTATATTGATCAATAATCGTAGGATTTTTTTAAATAGTTACGATTATGAGAACGAAATAAAGGTACAGTTAATTTTAAATGTTGAAAGACGTGAAAACAAAATTTAGATGTATACAGAGAAGTGATTAGAGAACAAACATTAAAGTTAATGAGCCTTCAAAAGGGAATTAAATGGATTTTTTCCAAAATTATCTTTTTATGATTTTTTCCTACCACCTATGGTTATTGGTGATGTGGGAACAAAATGTCCACTACGTAAACAGGGACAGGCTAACTTGTATCTTCTGAATATTTCTCTTAAAAGTAAAAGCTTACAACTGAAAGAATGAGACTCAAGACAGACAATAATAGAGACTAAGTATGAAAGGAACAAGTTTTTGGGGTTTTTTGGGTGGTGTGGTTTTTTTAGAAGCTGAGAAAGCAGCATTTTTAGGCGTATGAAGTATGAGTACTACTGTATAACAGAGTTTGGTGGGGTGGGGGTGGAAACAAACCATGTTATCCCCCATATTATTCTTGCTGAAGTTCTATAGGGTGACTCTTCATGATTGTATGACGCTGCCACATAAATGTTGTCTTACAGGAAGGAAATCTATGACTTTGAAAACTCAGACTCTGCCAGTCATGAAAAGGTAAAGTTGAGACAGAAGGTGTCAGGAGATGTGCTAAGGTCCGAGCTCAGCAGCCGACAGAGAGCAGTAACTTGAAGCAGGGGATATCTCTTGCTGCAGAAATGCATTAAGGATGGACATGCTATTATAGCAAACTTGGTTAACTAAGAATCTGAGGTTCCTGTGTTTCTGTATGGTGCTATACATGGAAATATTTTTTTTGGGGTGGGGAGGGTGCTCATCACTTCTTGACTTTTGTGGTGGGGGTGGGTACTGTATGATAAAACCAGCTGCAATAGGAGTTTGAGCCATTGCTTGAGTGAGGCTGTAGGATACCTTTGTGATTGAAGGCCAGCCTCTGCATTTTACTACATACTGAAAGCAAATTGCTGAGCATCCTTCATTTTGTACTCCTAGGCTAAATCTTCCTAGGCTGAAATCTGTTTTGAGCCACACTCGGCATGTTGGGAATTCCTGGTTAAAGCCAGTCATTGCAAAACTTCTGTTGGAAATTCAGCTTGACTTAATTTGTAGATTGATAGAAAAATTGAGTAAAAATGAGTCGCTCTGCCTACTTTGAAACTTTGACCAGTGTGGGTTTTCCCAGCAAGCTGAAAACTTGCTCCTGATGTCTTCTGTCAAGGTGGCTCCACCAAACAAACCCTTCTGCTTTCAGCCTCCTCCCCGGTGCTGATGCTATCACTGCTGCCCATTAATTCAGAGGCGATGGGCACTGAATGGGATGCCTCAAATTTCTGCTATAAACTGGACACAGTCCAGTCCTGGCTGCTGCCACTGGGTGTCAGCATAAAACCCCTCTTCATGGTCCCCTGCCTAGCATCCCAGCAGCCTGGTCCGGAGGCTGTCCAGGCACTGTGCGCTGCGTTTACAGCATGCTGCTACTCATGGTGTTAGTGCTTAAGATGTCTTTTCTTATGACAGTATTGCTTAAAATGAGCATTATTTGTAAAGCAAGGAAAAGAGAAAGTAACTCCATTTAGGAAAATTAATGTTTGTCTATTATAATTCATGACACAGTTTCAATCAACAAATCCCACTCCATTAATAAGTTGAATTTCCATGCTGGAGTCATAATATATTCCTCCTCTAGCCCTTTTGACTCCTGATACATTTTAATTTTGTAGGTTATTTTACAGGGTAATTGAACTTTAAGACAAGTACCTGCTTCTGTTTTAGGTCGCTGAAGCCAAAGGAAAGATTCTTGGCCAGAAAGTCTCCTCACAAAATCAGAGGTACAGGATTATACATGCACCATTTATGAACCTTTTGCTCTGTGAAAGAGGAGTTCATTAGTTAAACTGTTTTAAGTTGGGATCAAAAAGGCTGTACGATTTTTCTAATAAAACAGTTCCTTGCTTAGCTGCAACAGTGTCTGTGGATGTTATCAATACTAATATTTAAACAGCACCTGAGAATATAAAAGTTAGAGAATAATGACTTGTGTCCCCTTTGACAATAATAAGATTTTAACTCAAACGTGTGCTATCACAGCATCTGCTAGTCTAACTTGGGTCTTTATGGGTTACGTAGCAGGAATTATGAAACGGGAAACAAGAATGAAGAATCAAACAAGCTCGAGAGAAGGCCGGTAGGTTGTGCGTGCTTTGATGGCTGTGTGTATCCACTTGTATGAATCGGTTGCACCCTTAAATACCGTGAAGTTTAAGGCTTGTCAAATACAGAGGTGGAGGAATGTGAGCCTGGGAACCTCAAAATGGCCCGCTTGTGGTTACTGAAAGTGGTGCTCAGGATGCACAAGGACTGCCAGACCAGCAACTGAAGGCCTATGTTCATTCTCCTGCCCGCCCCTATGCTCTTGGCTGCAAGTCAGGCATGCTGACGCTTTCCTCCTCGCAAGACCTCTTTTATTTGGATGCAGGAGGGGAGAGGGACATGAGGATGGAGGGTGCTGTGAACCTTGTGTTGGCCAAGGGCAAGCATCTGGCTCGATGTCTTTTATACTGCTGGTTTGCCAGTTAACTGTTGGTGTTTTGGTAGATTTCACAGCTTGAAATACTTCAGGTTTTGCACTGTGGGGAGAAAGAAATGGAATAATTTGTTAGTAAATGAAGGGGAATGGTTGGGGGACTTCTGGGTGGAGAAAGGGAGCTGACTGAGCAGGACTCACTCTTAATAGTGTCTTTAGTCCAGTTACAGGAAACATCTCTTCTCTGAAAGCAACAATGAAAATACAAGCACTGGTCAGAGTGAAAAAAGTTGGATCCTTGACTCTCAGAAACGGTCGTTGCCAAAATCTCTTGACTATACCCGAAAAAGACCGAGAGTAAGAAGTAAATTAAAAGGTAAGCTTAATCCCCTGTTGACACTTAGCTATGTGTGACAGATGTACTGCAGATAAGGAAATGGCTGATGATGGGTGGAGGAGGAGGATTTGGCTGAGTTCCTGAACCAAGCAGGAGAGAGCAGGCTTGAGGCTGGCAGTGAGGGGTGCCCTGTGGAGGAGGTGCATCATGCGCTCTTGTGCTCAAAAAACTGGGTTCCTGTCTCCTTCTCTCCAGTGAATGTACTGGAGTTTGAATGTTCAGGTGGAAATTTGGCACCTAAATGTCTGTGTGGGTGCACCCCCTGCAATGGGGCCAAAAACACGATGGGTGCTGAGCTGATGGCTGTGTTTGTGCTCTTGAACACACAAGAAGAAAGATCTCTCTGGAGCTGCAATACCTCCTCCCTACAACTTTCCACTCCTCACCTCTCTGGAAATATAATTGATATTATGATTTTTTTCAAGGTTTACTCACCCAGTTTGCAGCCTGTGGTACCCTGCTCCCCTGTTTATACACTGACAGGCCTCAGAGTGATTTACAGAATCAGATGTGATAATCTGGTAGCATCCCCTGCTCAGGCCTGACCAACAGCAAAACTCCCCTGTGGCTGTGCTCCATGGCTCTGTTGGCTGCTGGGACCTCCAAATTCAAATCAAATTGCCCTGAAAGAGTTGGAATATCTCTGTTTCTCTCATGAAGAATGATCAGGTAGCTGTTGGTTTCTGTAGGGATGAAAAAGCAGAAGAAAATTGAGAGAGAAATTGTGCTTTATACTGTTTCCATGGGAGTTGTTCTCGCTCCAGTGTCAGACCGTGCACTGTAGCTGGGGCTTGGGGACCATCAGACAAGCTGCTGAGCCTGCCCCTTTTTTTGGCAGCCACTGTGGATGCAATGAGTTGTGTAAGTTTTGATTCATTTAGAAGCTTTGTTAGAAAGGGGTTTTGAAGCTTAATGCAAGTTTTGTGAAGTTTTCTCTTGTAAATGCCTAGAAAACCAAACTCAAAACTGGATTATTTAGCTGTCATGCAAACCTTAACTGGGTAAGGCATGCAGTTATGTTGTCAGTGACTAGGTAAGCTTTTCTCCTTGCAGTGCTTCCAGTGTCTTCTGCAAGTAGTGGCAGTGACTACCAGACAGAGAAGGTAAGGATGTGTCATGCTCAGATTTAGAAACATTGTGTATGCAAAACATGTACAAATGAGTGGGAATTAAACAGACTGGTGTTATCTATCTTCTCAAATGTTCTGATGGGCAAATTTTCCTACCAAGTGTTGCTGAGACTGTTGGTCTACTAGAGGTTGGGGAAACATGGAGGTCTTAGGAAGATGCGTGAAACTTCATAGAAACAACTGAGCGTCAGTCCTAAGCAAGTTGTTCTAAAACTATAATATTTACCTGTGATAGATGGAAAACTGTGCAGGAATTGCCAAGCTTGGTGTGACACCTGCCTTGGCTGACGCAGGTGTCACTCCAACGGGAATAAGTTCAGCTCTAGGGGCATGCCAGGAACAAGAGCTGCCTATCCAAATACCTACAGAAATCCCAGCTGGGTCCTACCAGGCTATATCCCCATGCTCTCCTCTGTCCTGTCCTCCCAGCTGGTGCCTTGGGAAAGCTCATGTTCTCCCCTGCTTTTTGCTGGCAATTTTCAGGGCTTTTATTCAAAGTCCTACACTGATGCTGAGTCCTGGTCCATGCACTGTCCTCAGCTTTCAGCTATAGCTCTGGGAAAACTGACTATTGTTTATACTGATGGGGGAATTAGTGGATCAGACATACATCGAGCAAAAAATTTAGTAATGCCAGACATTTCTTGTGCCCAGCTGTTAAGTGCCATGTATCAAATAATTTTGGCAAGGTCCCCACATATATATGGAAAGGGGAAAAAACTCTCCAGAACTGGTAGTTGTATTAAAAGCTTTTATTTACCCCTGGAAACCTTTTCTTTTCTCTTGACTAAAATGCTTTGATTCTGCTTATGAAAAACTTCATCCACCGTACAACTCAAATTACTATAGGGAGAATTTACACATGCATTGAACTTCAGGACACAGATCTCCTTCAGTGTTGAAGAGCACTATCATTATGTTAGGCATATTTCAAGTTTATCTCCGCTCTTAGTACATTTAAAAACCAAAGAAAGAAAGCCCTTCCCTAAAAAAGAAAAAAATAAAAAAAAATCAACATTCTGTAGTAATGTTTAAATAAAACAAACTCTTAGATTTGGTTTTGTTTCAGCAAGGAGCATCAAGGCGAAGAGCTCAAAAGGAGATGCTAAAGAAAAAAAGCACATCCAGCTCCAAAGGAGATGATTTACCTACAGTGGATCTTGATGGTATTTCTTTTCTAATCTTCTTCAGTGCATTAGAAAAGTTGTTTTGATGTGGGTGTGTTTTGGTTTTAAATTTTGCCTTTTTTATTCCCATTTTCTTCATAGGTGCTCTGCCTTGTAATGTTTCTTGTAATGGCTGTGAGGGCTGGATATTGTTTGTAGATAAAGTCTCTTGAGCGGGGAGAACATTAGCTGGGGTAATGAGAGGTGACGGAATGGCAGCCAAAAATAACACAGTCTTTTGACTGAGCCACTGTCTCTTCCATGTGAGAAGAGATGAAGGAGAAGGCGGTTGTTTGTTTTCTGTATATGTCATTAAAGGATTCAACCTCTCTTGCCTGTGTCATTTGGCTGATCTCTCGTGCAGATGAAATGCTCTCAGAGGAGTTTGAAGGGGGTCCTGTGCCACTTGATGCATCTGCCAAGGGCTATTCCATTGATGAGATGGCCACGCAGGTGCAGTACGCAACACTTAAACTCCTTCTAATCTGCTGTCAGGCTACTTCTCATCTAAAACTAATGCATCATGTCACTTTGCTTCCTATAACTAGACAGGCCCCTGACAGCTTGTCTGCAGTGCAGGGTGGGTACCTTCTTACTGTGTTTTTCCTTTTTCCTTAGAAGTTTCCTGATGCATCTGACAAATTGTCAAGAGAAGAAGAAAGCTTTAAGCAGAAGGACTCAGGTTTGTCAGTCTCAATAACATAGAAGAGTTGTTTAAAAAGTAGAAAGGGGTGTTGACAAAGTTGTCACTTTTCTTTCAAAGACAAGCACTGAGATTTTTGATATTTGAAGGATACTTTTTGCAAAGAAATATCTTCCATTTTTCCATTTTGTATATTGTGACAGGCTATGGCAAGGTGTTTTATAAGTGTGTTTCTGAGTTCATCACTAACTCTTAAATGCTGCCCTTGATCACAGGGGAACTACTAGCATAGCTATTAAGAGCTAGGGATTTACAAACCCTTTACAAAGAGAAAATATGTGAAATAAGTAAAAGCAGCCTGAAAACTAATTTTTAATTATTTGAAAGTACAGTGCAACTTCATTTGGAGAAAAAAAAAAAAGCATTTCTGAGAGCTGTTGACTTTCTTTATGTCTAAGAATATAGACATAGGCCATCATTAGAAGTATTTGGGAAATGATGATTTCTATTACTGCTGTAGCTTTTTTTAAGTGGCATTTAAGGACCTTCCTTTAATGAAACAGAACTTGCGCAAACTAATTCAAAACTGTAGCACAGTCTTTGTGACTGGAAACAACTGAGCCTCAAGAAAGTTGAGTAGCAATGGGCTGTCTTCATCCTAATATTCCTGATGCTGATGCAGTTGAGAGAGATTGTCTTAAAGTTACTTTTTGTGACTACGAACCAAGGCACTGAAACTTTGATCTTAGACAAAAGCATTCCCTTTCTCATGAGCTGGCTATGTTCGTGTTCCCAATATGTCTCTTACCTGTTCAGCATTTGCAGAATATAACCTTTGCTGCACCAACATATCTGCTTAATTTTGGGGGAAGATGAATGCTGAGGACTTAATTTTTATCACTGCTTACAGTCTTACAGTGAGAGAGGAGTTGATACCATGCGAAGGCAAGAGTAGGGTTATGTTCAGAAGTTTCAGGTCTGTGGACCCTAAATCTACTTCAGGGTGTTCCTCATGGTCCAACTGTCGTCCTTGTCCTGGGCTCCACCACCTTCCTGCCCTATGTAGCCTCCAGAGGTGGTTGGTCAAACACAGGCACCTCACTGAGCTCAGAAAAGTGGACAGTAAGATAAAGGGATGATTTTTCCAGCAGGTTTTCCTTAAAATATGGGCTGCAGCCTCCCTCACTGTGTTCCTGGGGTTTTTCCTGGATTAAAAGTAGTTGTATGGCAACTCTAGTGAAGCTGCAGAAAAGGAGGCTGTTACGGATGTGAATGGTTTTTCTCTCTCCTATGTATTTATGCACTCTTTTAAGCAACAGCTGAAATTAACTCAGGAACAAACGAGCATAAACAGGTTGTGAGCTTGGGCTGGAAAAGAGAAGAGAAGAAGCTGGGGAAGAGTTTTCTTTCTCGTTAGAACAGGGGGGCAAGAAATGAAGTTGTCTTTAAGATGGAGATACATAACTTTCCAGTTCTCTGCATAGCACTAGGCAGTCTGGTTGCCTGCTTTTGTGAGGGAAGAGACTTGCTGGTGAAGTCTTGTTCTGTCCCGTAAGTGTGATGCTAGACCCTAAAATGAAGTTGTCTGCTTTTCTGCAGGATTGGTAATTCCAGTGGTGGTTTTTGCTTGAGCAGCTGGTTTTGCTATGTACCTCGTGCAACAGAACAGATCTGTTCTGAAACATCTATTCTCTTTTCAGATATATTAAGTGGCACTGTCATAAAAAGGCCTAAATTTTCCAGTTGGGAAACAACTCATTTGTCCTCTGACACTTCATATAAACCAAGGAAACTTTTTGATTCAGTAGAGAAGGAAGAGGAGACCCAAACAGGTAAAGTCGGATTGGCAATTAAGGTGAAAATCATAGTCACGTGGAAGCTTGAAAAGGTATCTGTATGGAGGATGTCTTCTCCAAAAGTTAAAATATAGCACAAGGCACGTATTGTGGCGCTGCCATTGAATACCATCTATGTAGAGGGTGTGAATAAGGAAATCTGGGTTCCCTAACCACAATCCACTTGGGAAGATGCTTAATGATGCCAGCACTTTCTAGTCTCTCTGAATAGTGATTGTCTAGAGCTGTTGAAAAAAACCCCCAAAACCCCAAACCAAAAAAAGCATGTAGGTAACGGACAAAATAGCTGCAGAACACTACTAACTCCCAACAGAAGGGAGTTAGGCTTTCCTTGCAATGAATAAGTAGAAGACAGGAAAACAGTGGCACTTTTTTCCCCCCCATAGTGCTGTGCTGTTGTGTTATCTGTAAATATGTTGGTCTTTGTGTTTGGTTAGTTTTGTGCCACCTCTTCCATGCTGCTTTCTAAGAAGTTTCTCAATGCTTTTGGGGGCAGTTTCCCTCCTGCTTGTGAGCTCTAGAAGAGCAAAACTCAAATTCCTGCTCTATAACAAATATTGTTGCTCACATGAATGATGAAGCCTTCAGTAGGACCAGGGTTTATACTCCAATAAGCCTTCCAGCACGGTACTAACTGGGCATATGCTTTCTCCTAGGTCAGGAAATGGATGATGGTGTGGATGATGCATTTTTTTCCAAGATGCTGCGTGAAGATTTCAGTGATTCAGGGGTGATTACTGCATTTGAAAGCTTTATCGGCCAACTAAAGAAATTGTTCTGGGTAATGCGCACTCTATTAACATGTGCGCCTTGTGTGGCATTTTCTCATAATAAATTACCTTTTGTCACCAGGGGGCTGCTGTAAATATCCCATCTACATTTTGTGCCCAAGAGCATATTTGTACTGGATCAGCACTTTGTATTGTGCAACCATGATTTTTTTAAGTTGATAAGTGTTCACACTATGTTTTTAGCACCACTCCTTGAATCAAGGCTGGAAGTGGTTGCATTTACGAATCAGTTATGATTAAAACATACGTAGTTTGCATTAATGCTAGTCTGAAGTGGTGCTAACAAAGACCTGGTTTTGTGCAGTTAAGTGTGTTGGAGTATAGGTGAAACTTGCTTCCTTGCTGACTGGATAGCGTGACCTTAACCTGGAGTTGTGTGGGTTACATAGAGGTTTGCTGGTGTAACTAGTGTGAACAAAATCAGTTCATATTTGCAGTACCCTGCCTATGTGTCATCTCACTTCAGTTTAAATTTGCCTTAAGACAGTTTCCACTAAGCTGAAAGGCAGCCCATGGAGGAGTTTGTCTTTCAGGGAAAGGTTTTGCAAACTAGACTTCTAGGTTTTGGCTTGGGACATTGCCCATCCCTAACGGTGCATCCTGTGGTTAGACTCGGTACAAAGGGATGGAGACCAGTGCGCAGAACATCCTGAGGACTTCGGAGAAGAACGTGTCCGCCCTGCTACGGTAAGCTGTCTGCTGCTGGCTGAAAACAGCTTCAGCTTTGTGTAAATTTTGATATCAAAAGAAATGCCTCTTTGTAAGTGAACCTGATAGTAAGCTACTGCACTTATTATGGTTTGTAAAACAAAACAGCTTGTGTGTGTCTCTTCCTTTTATGTAAGAAGCATTTTAGAAGCATAGCTCCTATGATTTATCCTGTTTTTCCTGTAAGGGAGGAGTGGGTAGATTAATGAATGTAAAGCAAGCTTGAGTTAGGAGCAGTTGATGAAGCAGTCCTTAGACCATCTTCTGATTGTCATCAGTGTTCACAAATCTGTTTAAAAACCCTTAGTAGCTTCTGTTTCTATGTGTTTTAAGAAAGAAGCCAAACTCTGATTTACTTAATGAAGTAGGGGAGAAGAAAAGTGAGGGGTCTGTTATAGATCCATTCCTGTAGACTGTTTCCATGTGTATGAAACAAATGCCAAGACTTTACAGGCGCTCACCAGATAGGTCATTTTGCTTTATCAGTTGTCAAATTTCTCAGATAGGAGCTAAGTAAAAAAAAAAACCATAATAGTTACAGATTTGTTATAAGCGAAACATAAGCACAACCTGAGATATGAGTAAAGTGTATCAGGCCTCCATATTTACTAGATGTTCAGTTTGCAGGATTTAGATCAAACGTAGTATGAAAGAATAGCCTTTAAAGTGCAAAATCCTGGGTATCAATAGGATCTCTATGAGCAGAATTTGCTTGTCATTAAGGTACATGGAGAAGTTTGTGTTCCAAAAACAAAACCAGGGAACGTTTTGAGGTGGAAGATAAGAGTCAATGGTGGTGAGCTGCTGCTTAGTTATTAACTAAGTAATGTGGAGCCAGCCAGAGTCGCAGGATAGGGGAGACAGAGCTGTGTCAAATCTACCCCAGAAGGGTAGTTTCTAAACTCACCACCAGATGATGGCTTGGCATCCCACTGCCAGGGGAAAGGTGGCAAACCCAAGTGAATAAGAGTGTTGCTGGCTAAGGTTTAGAAATCACTGGCATCCTGTGGCAACACCATATATGTATATCAAGCCCATGGTAGGAAAACCCATCAGAGGTTATCTGTGCCAAGATGCTGTCTTCAGCTTGAGAAATCTCTACTGAAATCCCTGGAGGCTGGGAGAATATCCAGGGCAAGTATTGCACTTGGAACCCTCTTGTACCTTCTGTCCCGGGCCTCCATTACTGGCTGCTATTTGAGACAGGCTATTTAGCTAAACTTATCTTCAGTTTGACCCAGAACAGCTATTCATGTCTGAGACATACCTGAGAGCAAAACTGCCCCATGTAGTTCAGCAAGGATGTTTGTTTCTGCCTAAAAGCAGGTTTGGTGCTGAAGGGGTTGTCATCTGCCTTGTGCTATTGCACATTAAAGTATCAAACTTGTTTCTGTTCTCCATTGCTAGGCTGAGTAAGCTGGAGACCTTCCAGAAGATTGTTGTTGAAGAGCTTGCCAGTCTTGAGAAGGAAACTCAAGTTTTGGCAAACATGGAGAAGGATGCAATGGTGTGTACGACTTCTCGTGTGTCAGCCCACGGCGGTACCCCTTCCCAAGTAATGGGGGCTTTCTTTGGGGATCTTTTTAGGACTTCTGGAATGTGCAGTTGCTCAAACTGAGTTCTTTCTGCAACCAGCAAAAGCAAAGGTATGTCTCTGTCACCTGTCCTGCATGTTCACAAGCCCCCTGATAGAGGGCACTGGTTAGGGTGGTGATACCCTCACTAGTATACAGGGAAGTATTCTGAAGCCAGTATGGCATCTCCACTCAGTCTCTGTTTATGGAGCCTTTGCAGCCTCGTGAGGATTTTGAATTGGGTCTAGGGTGTAATGAGGGGCTCTCAGCACAGAAAGCTTAAGAGACCACACAGCACCTTAAGAGACCTGTACCAGAATCTGGAACAAGGTGTACCCTCTGGTCATGTCTGTATCTACAGGTCAGAGGTGGTGGAAGGATGTCATCCTTTCCTGTGTAAAAGATACTGTTTGTACAAATGCTGGGCAAAAAGCTGCATTTGGGGGAATCCTGAGGTTCATTTTATTAGTAAATACCTCTGTTCAAGTTTCATCAGTAAGTACTAACACTTCACAGATAAACTAGCCAAGCTCACTTTTCTTCCAGAATTCAGTCTGTTGACTCGGCCCTGGGTGAAACAGCAAAGAGTTTTGCTGACACTATCCAGAATACAACGGTACGTGCAGTACACGAGCAGCTCTGTACGGGTGGTGGACTCTGAGCTGTGGCCTGATGGATAAGCATTCTTCTCTGAAGTCCTGGGAGGGGAAACCTTTGGTTAGCGGATCTGCAGGGCTGGTTCCTAGTGGGACCCCCAGTTCTGATGCATGGAAAGCATTGAGAAAGCAGGGACTAGGGAAAGTGGTCAAAAAGCACTTGCTTAAGGGAGAAGGTAAGGACAAGGACCATCAGGTATTGATGCTTCTCCTGGGTTCATATCTCAGGGATTCTTTCATCCAGAGGCCGGTTTCTGTACAGTTAGTGACCCTTAATGCAGTTCTCTTCTGTCATTTTGTCCTACTTGCCTTTGGAGTTGTGGATCTGTGACGTCCTGTGGCTAGGAGCTCTGCTGCCTAACAACACCTTGCATGCTTTCTCACATCTGTTTTTTTAGGTCTGACAACATCTAGCCTTGATGCCTCCAAGTTTGACTTCTTAAAAAAAAATAAAAAAAATTCATTTGCTTTGGATCCCAGTTAAACATTCTGTTTAAGTTCTTAAACTCTTTAGAGTCTAATCACTAACTTATGACCTCATTTTAATTTGGAGGTTAAGCTGAATACTCTATTTTTCCATCTTGTCCACCCCATCACATGCACATATATTTGCTACTGCTGCTGTTCCAGCTTTTATGTGCAGACCTGATGACTTTGGAGATTTGGCATTCCTGTAATAAGACTGGGGGATTACAATGATGTGTGCAATACTGTGTGTCCTTACCTCACAGAGCTGAAGAACGCTCCCTGTGTTGAAGGGACAGCCATGTCTGTGGTCACTACAGTAGACTGGGCTTGGGCTTTTAAAAAAGCTTGTTTCCCTTAGCTGTTAAAGCTGATATCCTGAGCCTTTCTGAAGGGAAGAGTTTCCATTAAGAGCAATGAGTTGCTCAGGGGCACAGACCTTTCCCTTACCAGAGGTGCTCCTGATGAAGGAACCTTTAAAGAGAGGCAGAGCTGAGGAAGGAGCAATGGTACCATGGGAGCTGCTCATCCTGCAGCACCTTGTTCCAGGGTGGGTGCTTGAGAACTAAAAGCTGAATCTAAAACTGCTTCTTAGGATTGCTACAGTTTCTTTTCTTATGCAATATACATATTTGTATAAACTTCTGAAATGTTTTTCATTCTCTTTTTTCCTTCCCTGCAGTATGAACGCCCAATGAAGAAGGCAGTAGAAAACAACGTGTTCATTGTTACTTCTGACTAGCAAACCCCTGAATTCATCAGAGCTCTTAACGTTTGAGCATCTTATGCAACATAGAGAAGATGGTACTGTGAAGGATGTTAATTGATTTTAAGTGGAATGAAAAAAGGGAAGGAAAAACACACTGGTATTGAACTTTTTTTTTGCTTAAGAGTGCTGAGTGGTCCAGTTTTGATCCCTGTGTTGATAACATCAAGTTTTTCTGCAAAACTGCGAGAGGTCCATTAAATATCAAAGAAATAGAAAATGAACTAAATATGGTTTAGCCACCAACTGTTGCATATACTGGCTTTCTTTGAGTATTCTGCTAATGCCTTTATCAAATGTAAAAGCATTTAATGATTGATTCTAAGTAAAACATTGTTTGCATAGGATAACAATCTCTTCATTTATTTCAAGTTGATGCACTGTGCATGTCTGGAAAGGTACTCCAGAGTCCCGTATACCTTGTATGGAATGTGTTGGGGGTAGCCTTTCTTGTGTGCATGCTACAATGTGGGAGCTGCTGGCTTGAAACCAGTCACTCAATTCTGGATTGCAGAGGGATCTACGAGATATTGGCTAGATGCCTGATGGCAAACTGGAAACTGTGAAGGGCAAGAAACTTGGAGCATTGCAGAGAAAACAGCAAGTGGCACTGGAGAAATTAGTTTTAAAGCTAGTGACTATTGACTTCTAGGGGAGTTCTAAGTACAGTGAACAATGTTAGGATTAGGTAAACTAGCATCAAAGGTCCCTTGCAAGTGAGCAGCAGATAAACCATGCTATTTAATGTTGTCTTCTGCTTTGACAGAAATACCTAAATCACAGTTGCTTTTTGCAAACTGCCTTTAGTGTTGTGGCAGATATCACACATGCTAGTGCATCTTAATGAATTTGTGGGAACACCGCATGTTTCCAAGCTCTGTGTTTCTATCTACTTATCTTACAAAACCAACTTCAGATTGCTGTGTGGGTTGAAGTGGAGGGACTCCTTGGCCAAGTCAAACAAAAAAAAGAAGCCTTCAGAGGGTGGAAGCAAGGGCAGGTAGCCTGGGAGGAATACAGAGAAACTGTCCGAGCAGCCAGGGAGCAGGTTAGGAAAGCCAAAGCCCCAATAGAAGTTAGTCTGGCCAGGGATGTCAAGGACAACAAGAAAAGCTTCTATAGGTATGTCAGTGATAAAAGGAGGACGAGGGAAAATGTGGGTCCCCTCCAGAATGAAACAGGTGACCTGGTTACCCAGGATAGGGAGAAGGCTGAGGTACTCAGTGACTTCTTTGCCTCAGTCTTCACTGGCAGATCCTTGAGCCACGCTGCCCAGGTCGCAGAAGGCAGGGACTGGGAGAATGCAGAACTACCCACTGCAGCAGATCAGGTTCGAGAATATCTAAGGAACCTGAAGTGCACAAGTCCATGGGACCTGATGAGTTGCATCTCCATGGGTCTTGAGAGAACTGGTGGATGAAGTGGC